AGAGTAGGGGAAACCTCACAACGTAACAAACTAGTCACTTGTTACTGAAGGGTCTTACTATTATGTAACATAAACACGTCCGATAAACGGCTATTGAAACAGAGCTATGTAGGAGAGTAGGGGAAACCTCACAACGTAACAAACTAGTCACTTGTTACTGAAGGGTCTTACTATTATGTAACATAAACACGTCCGATAAACGGCTATTGAAACAGAGCTATGTAGGAGAGTAGGGGAAACCTCACAACGTAACAAACTAGTCACTTGTTACTGAAGGGTCTTACTATTATGTAACATAAACACGTCCGATAAACGGCTATTGAAACAGAGCTATGTAGGAGAGTAGGGGAAACCTCACAACGTAACAAACTAGTCACTTGTTACTGAAGGGTCTTACTATTATGTAACATAAACACGTCCGATAAACGGCTATTGAAACAGAGCTATGTAGGAGAGTAGGGGAAACCTCACAACGTAACAAACTAGTCACTTGTTACTGAAGGGTCTTACTATTATGTAACATAAACACGTCCGATAAACGGCTATTGAAACAGAGCTATGTAGGAGAGTAGGGGAAACCTCACAACGTAACAAACTAGTCACTTGTTACTGAAGGGTCTTACTATTATGTAACATAAACACGTCCGATAAACGGCTATTGAAACAGAGCTATGTAGGAGAGTAGGGGAAACCTCACAACGTAACAAACTAGGCACTTGTTACTAAAGGGTCTTACTATTATGTAACATAAACACGTCCGATAAACGGCTATTGAAACAGAGCTATGTAGGAGAGTAGGGGAAACCTCTCAACGTAACAAACTAGTCACTTGTTACTGAAGGGCCTTACTCTTATGTAACATAAACACGTCCGATAAGCGGGTATTGAAACAGTGCTATGTAGGAGAGTAGGGGAACCCTCACAACGTAACAAACTAGTCACTTGTTACTGAAGGGTCTTACTTTTCTTTTTCATTATCGGTAGAGCACTTTGCTCGTACTCTGAAGTCCAATACCATATTCACGAACCCGTACTCATGTACAGATTCCGTGTTCAATGCCGATTTCGAAGTCATGTGATAAACTAAAAAAAGTCGAATTTTAAGGTGATTCAAAATAATCTTAGAGGGATTCCGCTAAAGAATCCGCGATTAAGGACGAACACCATTTCATAAATACTGGCCCTGGATTCGACTTCTGGCAAGGACAATCCGACAAAACTGGGTATACAATTCATTTCTATAGAAAGTTATATATGAGATATGTTGATGTTTGATAAGACATCTGTACATGAGATATCCAAGTACATAGCTTATTTAACGTAATGGCACATCGTACAGGATTTACAATTAATCAAGTGATATCCAAAAAGAAAAAAATGAAAATAAATAGATAAATACATAAACAAAATACAAAATCGGCATTGCTCATTCGAAAACGTTTATGCTGGCTTGTCATAGAAAACCAGGACCAATTAGTGATGAGTGTACAGTTGTATTGTTGTATGGATTTCTCATTCTGGATATACCAACCATGTAAACACATCACAGGGCAGTTCGCCATAGAACGATGGGACGGATATTATATTTGGTAAATTACTTAATAAATGAAATCCTATTTTTGATCCAAGACCAACACCTAGCAAACTAGCGTGTGTTTATGTACGTATAATCACTAACCCCTGTCGGGCGTGAGGTCTAAAACCAATTACATCATTGGAACTGCCGACATGTTTGGTACACGCGCTGTATTCCTGACCGATTTCTTGTGTCTGACACCTCAGCAGGGTCTTAAAATAAATCTATAGACATTGTTAATCTCGGCGTGGTTCTTATTGGTGATGGATTACTTATCAGTGCCTTAAATTGTGAAGATATTATACATTTAATGTATTTTCGGTATTGAAACATTCTTTCATAGTATATTGATATATTTATTCACTGTTGGTTTTTTGTCTCCAGATTGATCACTTTGATATATGCATACCTTCCATGTTTTAATCCCAAAAATCATTTAGGGATCGAACGGCATTTTTTAAAATTTTCATACCGGCATGAAAATTTAAAAAACGCCGTTCAATCCGTATATTTACATTTTTACTATAGAACAAATGTTTAATTTTATTGATTTGTTCTTAAATAAATAATTAATGTATTTACTGCATTTTGTTTATGCGTCGCCCTTTAACGACATTGGCGTAACAGCGCCACCCCCCCTTTTTATATAAAATTGGCGCCAATAAATAACCGAAGCCATTTGAGTGTCTGATGCAGGGGCATTCTCCATGTTATCCGAAGCAAAGCCACAAGACTCTCATTGAACAATGCTAATCCATGACATCATAAGTAAACCATGTGATAAGTCACGAGAGTTTTTGGTTTCATACTCAAATGAAATGCATTTCTGCTGGTAATGTTCATATAGTGGGTTGTAGAGCAACTGTTGATAAAGTCAGTGAAGTGAAGTCTGGTGCATCATAATGGAAAGTATTATGTGGCTTTATAAACAAAATGACATTACAAGACATATTAATTAAATCCTTTACCTGTTACAGCTGAAGTTGTAATGTGATAAAGGGTTCAAAGACAACTTCCCTTTATTTCTCTATTTCCAAATAACATGTTATGTTTCGGAACACTTTAGACAAACAGCCACGCCGAGCTTAACAATGTCTCTGGTTTTATTTTAAGACCCTGCTGAGGTGTCAGACACAAGTAATCGGTCAGGAATACAGCGCGTGTACCAAACATGTCGGCAGTTCCAATGATGTAATTGGTTTTAGACCTCACGCCCGACAGGGGTTAGTGATTATATGTACATAAACACACGCTAGTTTGCTAGGTGTTGGTCTTGGATGCATAATATGATTTCATTTATTAAGTAATTTATCAATTATATTATCCGTCCCATCGTTCTATGGCGAACCGCCCTGCCATGTGTTTACACGGTTGATATATCCAGAATTAGACATCTATCCACTATACAACTGCACACAACCATTACATGATACGTTTGAGCTCTTTCGACTTTCTACATCAGCTTCCTACGTAGTACAAAGGGGTTTCCTTACTCAATATCTCGAGTGATTATTCTTAGTAATATGATCAATACATCACGCAACATATGTTAATATAATCGAGTGACTCTTTATTACATCAAATGACCACCAGTTTTGAAATAACAAAAGTGGGAAGTTGCAGATGATAAGTATGGCGCGGTTCTGTGATGATAAGTATGGCGCGGTTCTGTGATGATAAGTATGGCGCGGTTCTGTCATGAGTTATCCATTTTAAACACGCTTGGACATATTTGTGTTCACCGAAATTTCTCACTATGAAGGAAGGTTAATTAATATATTTATATATATATAAAGCGATTGCAGTTCTGTTTTATCAAAAAGGAAACGTTAATAAACAATTACCATTAATAACGGTTCAGTTTTCAAATATGTAGACATTTCCCTGCCGAGAAAATCAGAACTTTGTTTTTGTAGAATAAATCTTGCTGTTTTGTTGTTTGGTTTTAGACGTAAACTATTTCATATATAAATGATGGTGTGTCTAAATAAACCTCTACTCCGATCTGCGTCTGTAATCTGTATTTAAAGCTAAAATAAGATGGACTCCACCTGCTCCGTAAATAAAATGATAAAAAACAAAATGAGTAAGAACAACATTGACAGTCATGCGTTTGCTGCCAATCGCTTAATACAAATCATATTGTTAACGAGCAAGACAGCTTTGATGCTATAACAAGTCTGCAGCTAAACTGCAAGTCTACCATTTTGCGAAGTCTGGCGTAGTCCGCAGAATTATGAACGATCGAGATATTTCCAGAAACATCGTGCAATCAGTGTTAAGTACACAAATCGTCAGATTAGACATACAAACTACTCCCTCTTGGCGCACGAATTGTGAGTAAAATGTCCACACTAGAGTACAAACCCAGTAGATTACATCTTTACTTTGACGTTTCATCAGATTTCTGAAGACCTACATGTAATTACTGATGGATGGTTACCAACGGAGCTGTGGACGGTAACATCTAATTAACTTTCCAAGTGATTAGCTCTATTTTTAGAGCAATGTTTTATAATGTGTATAATTGCTTTCAACAACTGAAACAATTATACATATATTTCCATGTTTCACATCTTCAAAACCAGTAGCCTTATCTTGACCTGAAAACTTTGACAAATCATTGATATATGACAATGACAAGTATGTCAATATATGTTATAGGGAATATGAATAAAAATAATAATAATGAATCCATATTATATGAAAGATTCAAATCTAGAGCCCGGACTAGAAATAGGCTAACCAAAATATCCTCTCTTATTAATATGCATTTGTGTACCTGCATAAACCTCGGGAAGAGTATGCTCAATGGACTTGAACAGTTACCTGTATTGTTATGATGGTGTTTCACCGAATCGCTCATTAGGAACTAGTTGCACTAACAACTCTTTGAAAAGGGCTTTAACTTTGTCAAAAATATCGATAAGTCTCTAATAATTCAATTGATTTTCCAGTTCAAATCAAATATTGCAAAATTTCAAGGGATTCGGATGCAAGGGGGGCATGGACATTATTTCATTTACAGGGTATTGTGGTCCTCAGAACCCCATCCCCGAAGCCTTGTAGTTTAATCAAAAATATGCATTAACCCGACATTCCACACAAGAGGATATCGTAAGTAATTCTGTTTGATAAAATATGTATCCGGTATTACTATTCTTCCGAATTAAGTAACAAACGTTTACAGTGTGATGTAAATTGGTTATAAATAAGGGATCGCTATTTTATTCTAGGCATTTCCCACGGCGGGAACGTTTCAATTTGCTCAAAACTTCCGGATATCTTTCAGGGTTATCACTATTTACTGACAACTGTAATTGTTTTGTACACTGAAACTGCCCTAGCGAATTATCTGGTTCGACAAAGCTCAAAGGTATTTAAGAGGAAACGAAGGAGAAAAAGTAAGATTTGTTCTACTCACTTGCTTCAAGAAGAGCCAACACATCATTAAAGTTTCTTGGTCTTTCTTCATCCAAAAACAGCTGCTGGAAGTCCGACAGTGGATGCGAGGATATTTCATTGAGCTCTGACGTATCCTTTAATCCGAATCCCACCGTGAATATCTGGATGCCGTCGTCCTCTGCCCTCTCTGCCGCGGCCCAGGATTGGAATTTGTTTTCACTTTCGTCACTTCCGGTGAGATACAGGATAAAGTTCCTAGCGAAACTTCGGTCACCGCTTCTACGTTTAAACATCTGAGTTCTGACGATATCAAACGCCTTCGCTGTATTGGTCTCACCTGGGCGGTACTGTACCCGGTTTATTGCTCGTTGCACGCTTTCCTGTGTATTGTAGTTCCCAAGCTGGAACTGCACGTCAGGGTAGGTGCTGAATCGTAGAAGACCCATTCGGAACTTCTCGTTATCTATGCTTAATTCTCCAGTCACCATCTTCACGTAGTCAGTCATCTTACTAAATACTTCGGGCCTGACAGAGGAATCCATAACGACAACAATATCAAATGCGTTAGCTGGCCGTGTTGGTCTTGGCGTAGTTGTCGTGGTTGGTCGCGGAGTAGTTGGTCGTGGTGTGGCTGGGCGTCGAGTAGTCGTTGGTCGTGGTGTGGTCGGTCTCTGGGTTGTTGGTCTCGGCGTTCCTGTAAAAACGAACGTATAAGAAATAAATGAAACTGAAAACAATGTATACCTGGTTCCCTATTCGCCGTTCAGCAATGACAATGTAAGCTAGTGTGCATTATATCTAAGGAACAATTTTCTATATTTTCCAATTCATGAGGTGATAACTCCAGTTAAGCAAGTGTAAAATGTCCATTTGTATTGTTGTTGTTGTCACGGAAAATTGTCACGTTCTGTAGTAAGGTTATTAGATGTTAAAAAGTGTTTATGTGAACTATGGCTATTGTTTGACTGCTAATTTTAGCAAATATTCTTCCTTAGATTCGTGAAAGACCATAGTCTAGTAATTATAATTTGTTATGTATACAGGTGTCTATATCATATCTCTCACAATGGCGTGGAATGCAGTGTACCCTCTCGTTATAATGGCACTCTTTACACAGCAAGGGTTGGCCTTATGAAGGTGGTAGAAAAAGTGTCAGGAGACATAAAATGTCTGCTCAGAGTAAAAGGGAAAAAGGGAGCTTGATATATTGAAATACTTTTGGCATTATACAGATATTCCAAATTAGTCAGTGTTTCCCGTACGTTATAAGGATATTAATAGATGTCATTGCAATACATTTGTATATATATATATTTATACATATGCAGATATTGTATAATAATCTATTTTTGCGGGTTTTGGCGTTTTACAGTGAAAAAAACTTTTAAAACCAAACATATACATATGTATTCAATTTTCAAACAGATGTTTATGTAATAACGTGTAATGAAATTTGGTTGTGTCTGTCTACCATGAAATAAGCCTCGAATGTGCACATACACCAGGTGTATTTATAGGGCCTAAAAATCAACACTGCACACAGAACTTATCATCGCAAGCGTTTGTAATCCTTGCGGCAATCTGAATGTTATGCAATATTATAAAAAAACCGAAATAGGAATGAAACTTACTTCGTGGTGGTAGGGTCGATTCTGAAAGAAAATACATTAAAATGATATTAGCAATATGTAAGTTTTTCTTGAAAAGTAGCACAATATACGTCTATTTTAACAAACACATATAAATACAGACATTTAAGTAGATGCATGTTTTACATAATGACAATATATTGTGACACCTTGTATAATTTATCATTGTAAAATTATGTCATTTTATTGCAAACACACAAGTTTGGAATTCCTTGCTGCTGAATGTCATTAAACACAATTTAAACACAATGTCATTAAACACAATGTCATTAAACACAATGTCATGAGTGAATGTAAAGTGAAATAAGAGCAGAATAAAATAGGATATCGAAGCAGTGTAACGGACAATACACCGGTACCCTGATCCTTCACCAGTTCACTTTCTTACATAACTCCTGTCAGTTAAGACCGCCCGTCTATAACGACCACCTGTCTATAACATATTGAGAATACTTAAAATGCTAGGTTTTGTATCATAATTATGTATTTAAAAGTCAATACTACAATACTACTTACTGTATATAATGCTCGCCTTTCTATCAAAACAACAGCGAAATATAGCTTCATACTTCAGAATTTCTCAAATCGCATGCTCTATAGAAATTCGATCCAAATCTCTCAAATTGCGTGTTCCAAATAATACTTTTTTTGTGTCTATAAAGATGACCTGTCATTGAATACCCCCTGTATATAAGATCATCTTTCTAAAATGACCACGTGTCTGAAATCACAAGTCTGTAATACAAGCTATCAGAACACCCGTCTATAAATACCCCCTGTATATCAGATCATCTTTCTAAAATGACCACGTGTCTGAAATCACAAGTCTGTAATACAAGCCATCAGAACACCTGTCTATAAATACCCCCTGTATATAAGATCATCTTTCTAAAATGACCACGTGTCTGAAATAACAAGTCTGTAATACAAGCTTTCAGAACACCTGTCTATAAATACCCCCTGTATATAAGATCATCTGTCTAAAATGACCACGTGTCTGAAATCACAAGTCTAATACAAGCTATCAGAACACCTGTCTATCAATACCACCTGTCGATAAGATAACCGATACAATTTACCTGGATGTAACAACACCTGTCTATATAGACCATGTGTATATACGACCACCTGTCTGTACGATCGCCAATAAAAAATACCAACTGTCTAAAATACCACCTGTCTATAACATCACCTGTCTATAAGATCACATGTATATAATAAAACAAGTAAATAAGAGTACCTGTCTATAAGATCACCTGTCTAAAAGATCACCTGTCTATAAGATCACCTGTCTATACTAACACAAGTAAATACGAGTACCTGTCTATAGAGACCACATGTCTAAAAAGATCACCTGTCTATACTAACACAAGTAAATAAGAGTACCTGTCTATAAAGACCACATGTCTGAAAATATCACCTGTCTAAAAGATCACCTGTCTATAAGATCACCTGTCTATACTAACACAAGTAAATAGAGTACCTGTCTATAGAGACCACATGTCTAAAAAGATCACCTGTCTATACTAACACAAGTAAATAAGAGTACCTGTCTATAAAGACCACATGTCTGAAAATATCACCTGTCTAAAAGATCACCTGTCTATAAGATCACATGTCTATACTCACACAAGTAATACGAGTACCTGTCTATAGAGACCGACCACATGTCTGAAAAGATCACCTGTCTATACTAACACAAGTAAATAAGAGTACCTGTCTATAAAGACCACATGTCTGAAAAGATCACCTGTCTATACTAACACAAGTAAATAAGAGTACCTGTCTATAAAGACCACATGTATGAAAAGATCACCTGTCTAAAAGATCACCTGTCTATAAGATCACCTGTCTATACTAACACAAGTAAATAAGAGTACCTGTCTATAGAGACCACATGTCTAAAAAGATCACCTGTCTATACTAACACAAGTAAATAAGAGTACCTGTCTATAAAGACCACATGTCTGAAGAGATCACCTGTCTATACTAACACAAGTAAATAAGAATACCTGTCTATAAAGACCACATGTATGAAAAGATCACCTGTCTATAAGATCACATGTATATACTAACACAAGTAATACGAGTACCTGTCTATAGAGACCGACCACATGTCTGAAAAGATCACCTGTCTATACTAACACAAGTAAATAAGAGTACCTGTCTATAGAGACCACATGTCTGAAGAGATCACCTGTCTATACTAACATAAGTAAATAAGAGTGCCTGTCTATAAAGACCACATGTATGAAAAGATCACCTGTCTTGTTCTGATGTTCTGTTAATACTACAATGTTATATATGTTCTAATAGTGTATACAATTATTTGTCATTACATCTACCATGTTACCTCCGATTGTATGCTCTTTATATCTTTCATGACCACTTCCATATAACCGTCATACATTTAAAATTCACTGTCTATAGTCTATATAAGAACACGACTTTATAAAGATCATGGAAACAAGATTTATATAAAAACTGTGTATCAAGATCTTCTGTAGATTATGACTATCTGTATAAAACTTCTATCATTATAGAAGAAAAATGTGTGTACAAGAACAATACCTGAAATAACATTTTTTTCAAAAGAAATTACGAAAGGGTAGTTTGTAACATGTTCCCAGAAGTATGCAAAGTTAATTTAAACCATATCAATTACCGTTTGTATGATTATTCCTAGTATTTGTTCTAATAGCGAAGAAAATAATTCTTTATACCTGTGACGATCAATAGACTGCTAACACAACTATTTACCTAAGTTACATAAATAATCTATATACAGCTGACTATGGGGAGCAGGAAAGCTTCTGTAGTTTTATTTCATCTTGTAATCATCTATTTTTCGTTTTACTATAAATGCATACGAGTAATAATTTCCATAAGGCTGAAACGCATCACAAAGTAATTATCTATTTACAACGTAATTTAGAAACTGTCTATATTTATAACATCATAAAAAGAAAAGAAATTCTGCCATCCACTCGGGCAATCTTAATATCAGAGTTTGTATCGTATACACATTCATGTTACATTATGTTAGGCTGTACATTTATCCCATCTCAACCGCACAGCACGGAAACAGACAGTGTTCAACCTGGTACAATCATATCGCCTAGTACACAACTTCCCAAAATACAAGCGCGTCTTTGTTTTTTAAACGTTCACGTTATCTGAAAATCAATATATTAGAAATAAGAATATCTTACTAACAAAGGTGTCAAAAACTAATAAGCTAAATGCTTAAAACATGATAACCAATTCACCGATTACTCTCGATATTTGTAGACCTTGTAGATGATTTTGATTTGGAATATTATTTTAAAGGTTTCAGGATGTGTTAGTCTACATTTAAGAGTAGCAGAAGGTTTGACATTTATTGAATATGAAACCTATGTATTAATAGTTCTAGAAATAGGAACAATAGATTTGATAAACATGCTTTATGATAACACCCCAGATGATGCGCCATGTATTACATTATTATGTTATTCAAGACATGTGGTCGATGGAGACATTCGCTATCTAAGACAGGTTTGAGTGTGATGTATTTAAGACATGTGGTCGATGGAGACATTCGCTATCTAAGACAGGTTTGATTGTGATGTATTTTAGACAGGTGGTCGATGGAGACATTCGCTATCTAAGACAGGTTTAATTGTGATGTACTTAAGACATGTGGTCGATGGAGACATTCGCTATCTAAGACAGGTTTGATTGTGATGTATTTAAGACAAAGGACGCTATAGTTGTTGGCTTTAGTCTTCTAGTATTGACAACTATACGTTATAGCAATCAGTATTATGTACAACTTCAAGTAAAATGACTTTTGATTAGTTTGTGGTTGACAAAGGGTATGGTTTCCCTAAGTCACGTGATGGGATACCTCTGCTTTCGTCGGTAGGACGCCTTGTAGGACGCCTGGTTGGGTATGTAGGACGCGCGGTTGTAGGGGGATATCTAGGACGTTCTGTTGGTATTGGAGTTCCTTCAACGACACATAGGACATCACAGCACACGTGACACATTAAGACAGCACGGTGACGTTTGAGAGAAAACGAGAATATTAAGTGCATAAGAGACAAACAGTGAGGATATGTGTGCATACAACATACTCATTGACTGTTGGTTACTCATTTTTCACAAGAATGTGTTTTATTTTTTAGAAAATTAAAATAATGACATTAAAGGAACATTGGTTTTACGTTAGTTTATACCAAAAATGAGTGACCAAACAGTTTGAGCAGACGAAAATCAGTGAACAAATATACTTAGAGTCCATGATGATATCCTACAAAATCTTCAACTCGTGCAATGAGTCTTTTCATGAAGTATTACCAAAAAAAGAGAAAAAAATGAGTATCGGTATCTACTTATCCAGCTTATATGGCACTACTGATTGACTTGTGTATGAAACATTATGTGATTAATAAAATGAAAACAAAAGTTCTATTTTTTGTTTTTGTTTGGCCAATATAATGTATCTGCGGAGTTACGTGATGTAATACACTTGTTGTCGTCCATAGGACGCCTAGTAGGATATCTAGGACGCAGTAAGGACGTATAGAACATCTAATAGGTACTTGTGCTGTTTCCACGACAAAAATGACGTCACAATACGGGTGGGACATCACGGTGACGTGTAAAGAAAAGTAAGAATATCAAGTGCATCAAAGACGGAGTCTGTTTATAAATAGACATTGTACATCACATTTGACCGTTAATCACTAGTTTATGTAGATTTGTGGAACGTTTTAAATTCATTTGCATCATTTAAGCTAAACATAATATGGCTTGATAGACGATTACAAATTATGTCTCTTATTCCCTTACAAATGAGCTACCAATAATCTGTGCAGTCAAAAACACAGAACTAGTTTATATACTGTTGATTTTGTCATCTTGTGCAAAATAAGAAACGTTTTAAACTTTTTAAAGCAAAACTAGCTATGTCAAATATTTACCATTTCCTACAATGAAGGGCATACAAAGGGTTCGTACATATTATACGTCAAATATTTACTGTTTCTTGTACTAAAAGCGGTAAAAGAAAATGTTGCTTCGTGCAAGTTTACTGCAATAACTGATATATCCCATCTACAAGGAAACTATATTCTACAGATATATCATCCTTTTTACGGTCTGAGATGTCAGTTTAAGATATATGTAATCAATCACGTGTATGTCGATAGACACACAAAGAACACGTGTTATACACTATTTCTGTATGCTCGAGCACTATAGCAGCTGTGTTAAATGAGAAGTAGGACCCAGTTGTTATCTCATGTTCACTATCAATCAACTATTTAAAGTCGATTTCACTGATATTAGTGTATACGAGCTTGGTTCTAAAGAAGGCCCCTCCCAATCCGGTAGACATTGCAAATGTACCCAATATCCATTTTGTTGCAATCAATACTTAATATACGAACTAGGTAAACATCTATTCATTTTTTAGAAGAGATGAAAAGTCATATTGAAAGCTGTTACTGAACCATATGACCAGTTCATCCATTCCGGACACAGCAGCGGCATTAACGGTCAAATTATCGTAAAGGTGCAACATGTTTGCTTGGAATAGGTAGACAAACTTACTTGTAATGACCCGTTGAAGTAACAGAAATCCATGTGATAAAGGTCAAGACGGTTTCAGAAATCTATTACCCATAAATATCGTTGTTATGAAAATTTAAGAGACACCAAGTTCTACTTTTAGATGCTTTTGTTTTATCAATAGCTTATCAATCGTTTTCTTATATCATAAAAGATATCTAATAATGCAAAGCAAAAAGAGGACTTTCACTTTGATTTTAATCTGGAAGCATATTTTTTGTGGAAATTTCTATTTAGGGACATGGATATAGTCAAATTTAAAAACAAACCAAGGAGGAGCAACTTATCATATCTTCCTTTTTTGTCATGGAAAAATGTTTGAGATTTTCTGATGAACAATGCATTTAAATCGTTTCAAAATCTCTCATACTATCAATTTATCGCCGGATCTATTGAAAACAGTAGGAGATAAGAATGGCATTATTGTAACTATTATATCATATTTAGCACCATTAATATACCATAAACTATTTTGAAATGCATTAGTGAATGTGACCATTCTGATGTTGATAATAAAACTGATGATTTAAAAATTCTTTATAAAAAGTTGTGATGTAATGATAAGAAAACAGGAAAATTTCAAAGCGTGGAAGGGAAACTATTTTATATCCCGGTACCTCTGCCACCATGAGTTGGACGAACAGATGGACGGACAGTAGAACGATCTGATGGGCGTCTTGTTGGGAAAGGAGTTCGTCGCGTCGATGATGGATATTTTGGAGGACGAGTCGGAGGATACCTCGGACGTTCGGTTGTTCTACCTTTAATGACATACATGACGTCACAGCAAGTGAAGGACACACAGACAGACATCACAGTGCCGAAGTTGAAACAAAACAGTAAGTACAACATTGATTATACAAAATAATTTAAACAGAAATGCTTAAAATGCAGATTTGATATCATCAACACCTGTTGATAGGGTTTCTATGGTGTATATATATGTGATTTATCAGCTAAGATCAAGCGAGACGATAGGGTATCTATGGTGTATATATATGTTATTTATCGTTCCAGCTAAGATCAAGCGAGACATTCATCCGTCCTTAACATGCCGAAATCAACAGGATATAGTTGTTTTAGTTTTTTCTCTTAAAAATACGACTAAAATATCAATTTTCTCATTATTTGCTAAAAACCAAAACCAAACACAATGTCCGACAACATCAAATTGTCTTTCGTTATTTGCTTTTTGGTCCCAATAGAAACTGCATTAAAATTATAATTACGTTTTGCAAAAACTGAAACATGTCGATATTGCATTAAGGAAGATATCAAATCTGCAATTGTAACAAGATATCTTGCAACCTCATTAGTCATTAATGCTCACAACCAGAAGAATCACAGCTGATAAAGAGGGGTTATTTAGATGTCGTACTATTGACTATATAATTGCTTGTATACAGTAGGAATACAGAAATCAGAAGACATCGGTGTTTAATCATGATATCTAAGTTTTACTTTCTACACAAACAATGTACGTATTAAACGTGTCGCAACGTTTCAAGACCGACTGATCCCCTTTGTCAAGCCGTGTTTAGAAAGTAAAACTATGATATCGCATTTTTCCAAACTTAAGACTCTTATTGAAGATAATTGTTTATTGAAGATTGTTAAATCAGTTGTTATCGGCTGGTGTGTAAACTGTTGAATGACGTTGAAAAGTTTCAGTAACAACAAATGACATATAGGTGCATATTTATAACAGTGCATATTTATAATTGTGCATATGGCATGCTATTTATGGAGGTATTCTTAATGTTTATTACTCTGGAAGAACCTTCACCAATATATCACAAACATGACACATTTTTGACAAACACTATGTCCGGGCGGTAACCGTTGCAAGAATGTTAATATACGCATATTATTACCCCTGATATTTATATCGTAAACTGTTACTTTTTATACAAAATAACCAGCATTTTGTCACTTATAACTGTTTTTGGCATCACTATTGTGTCAAATGAAAGTTTTCGTCCTTAATACCTTTCTAATTAATTTAATCTTCATGACATTTGAACTACTAATTCCTGCATGTTTATATTTTATATAACTGTGAAAAAAAAGCTTATCTGAAACAAAAATCCACTGTCACAAAACACAACAAGCAGTGCTAAATAAAAAAAATACAATTTAAAAATGAGTAATGGCTGAATGTTAATATAACACTGTAACGATATAGGGCGTTATGCTGTGTTTTTCAATTATGAAAGAAGTTTGAACTTTCATCAATAGCGATACAATTTATACAAATTAGAAAGGTAAAAGGTAGGAGCATCTAGTTGCACTAAGAAACATAAATGTCTTCCAGGTGCCGCTTTTTAAGCATGGTACCTGTCGTCACGGCGTGTTCAAAACGCACCAATGCGCAGTAAGTTGTTTGTATGAGCAAGACTATGCATACATTATTAACCAACATCAGCGGAATCCCATCGTCAACAATCATATCATAAAAACGTCCTAACGTTCCCGTGCTTAAATGTACCACATATTTTGTTTTTCTTTAATATGGAACTTTAAAGAAAATTCAATTTGAATGAAAGTAAAGACGTTAAAAGTCTTACAAATCCCTGACAAATGAAGAGGTGATCGCCTATTAATAGAACGCAAAAATGCGCGTAGTGTTGGTTAAAATAAATTGACATCCTTTGGGGGAGGAAGTGAACGCAAAAAGCAATGGTTCTGCATGTACCTGTCGTAGTGGGAGCTCTTGTTGGCGCAGGAGTCGGTTTGTGCGTGGTTGGTTTTGGTGTGGTTGGTTTCGCTGAACACATTCAACACAGTTACGAATCGCATATTGATGAACGGACACATAAAGATGATGGCGACAAAAAAGACAATGTTAGACATAAAATGAAATACAAACGAACATTCACTACAATTACGTGATGACATCACATTACGATCAATATATTATTAAATACAAGGACCTGTAAAGGCAGACATACGATAAACAATTACGGATATACAATTTATCTTTATGAACGCTGTAAGCTGACAACTCCTTGTCGGAGACTAACGGTTCCTTTCTTTCAAAAGAATGTCGCAATAAACACGTAGAAACAGTATATTATTAAACATTATAAGAAATACAATTTGATTTAATATACATATAAGCTAGTTCAGATGTACCACTGATGTTGACTGAACAGAACGTGAATTTTGTTTTTAGAAGTAGTAGAATGCTAATATATCCGAAAAATAGAAACAATTGACAGGTAGGTATTGTTTCCTAATATTGCATTAATAAAAATAGATGATGTACCTGTTGTTGTTGGCATTCTTGTAGGTAATGTTCGCTCTACTGAATAAACGACAAATTATACACTGGTTATTTACACAAATTCGGTATTCTAAAATAAAACAAATATATATCATTGTTATATTGCATACACCGATTACTTGCTGCTGTGATAATATTTGATTTTTTTGTATACATAGTTCAATAAAAACGTGACCACAGATTTAACGTACGACTATCAATTATGTTTACAAAGATTTTTTTCATTCTTATATTTGTACAAAATAAGTTTGTCATTTTTTTTTATCTAAATGACAAGAATATACTTCATTGATAACATCAATATATATCATTATTTTCTTCTTTGGATTTATTCTGACAAAACATATCATCATTTATCGTGATGATAGAATGATAAGCTCATAATAAATATTAATGTAGTTTGATTGTCGTCTTGATTTAATAATTTTATTATTATCATAAGATATTTCTACTGAAGAAGGAAATATATTTCGAATGTAAATGATAACATACACTATATCGGTAATACGTTTTTCGGAACGAGATGAAGTAATGTTTTTTTTTATAGAATTGCTTACAACAAATCTTGGTCATGGTTTCATATATAATTCATTTATTTAATATAAAAGCAATTAATTCTTCAGTCCAATATGATTTGAAAATAGATAGTGCTTTATGATAGTAGAAATGATTTAACATAATTTAACATAACTTAGATAACACTTCAACACTTCAACACTAAAACAGACCCTGATGAAAATGTATACCGAGCGATAGTTATTTCAGTGAGAATTTTCTTCAGAAGGATGGTTAATTTTCAGAAAAAATGTTAATTTAACTTTTACTCAAAAACAGTCGAACGTGTAAATCCGGATATTGCAAATTAAAGGAAATTTCAAGCCGGCAACTAAATATCTAAATATCGGTAACATGATATAGCCGGTAACTAAATATCTTTTGTTTCATTCATTGTTAGAACTTCCTGATTGTAATATCTATTCTAATGTTAGTCAAGCATTTTAATAATTCTATGCAAATTCATCCTTAGACAGCGTAAAAACGTATCCATTGGAAGATTTTCTTTATATTTCATCAATATTATTTGTATCAACCAATCAACGAAAGGACACAAAACAAAACAAACAACAAAAAGTGAATAACATAAAACAAGATGTCGTCAGGGATAATTATCCTTGAGATGATGTTTTTACTTTACAGTGCAATATCTCGAAACATGTCTAACATAACATATCATGTTATCTCTATAATATTAATAATATTTTCAAAAGCATTTTCATTTTGTTGTTCTGATTGCGATTATAACGATTGATTATTTTTTGCACAATCATCTGAAGGACAATGTTCAGTGTATATTGACATATGTATCACTCGTTATATGTATTTGTACAATACAGAATGGATACTTGAACAAAAGAATACAACAATTGACAAATACAACAAAGGCTTGCTGATATACAAGATGTTAGATAGGCCTGTATTTTATTAAGGCAAATTTTAAGGTGACATCCAACACTTCTAGCTATGAGTGGACGTCAGGGACATTTCCAGTATGCTTAATTATAACTGGAATAGCGAGTTATACATGTGTGATAGCATGCTTATGCTGCGCATTTCGGACAGATATGTTTTATGCAAGTCTTTAACATTGCATATATATATGGTGTATCATCTATTGGTGTACATTCTATCGCACACCAATCAGCGTTCATAAGAGGATGAAAGAAAAGTTCACATATCAATAAATGTAATATTTTATAATGAAATAGTAGCTAACGTTTAATTAATGGGACTTACCTGGACACAGGGATTTGAATACTTTCTCTTCGAATCCTTCAAGTTCGTCAAAGGTGTCGACAACGAAGCTATTGCTGGAGGCCGGAGGTGTCGCAATGGCGTCAAGTTCTGTAGTATCAGTCAGGCCAATACCGACGGTGTAAACAAAGATTCCGTCCCGATGGGCAGACTCGGCTTCCGGTATGGTTCGGCGAGAATTGATATTCGATATACCGTCAGTGATGACGATGGCAATGTTCATGACGTCAGGACGGTCCCCATTTACGGTGGTAAACATTTCCTGTCGCATCGTTCGGAGGCCGTCGGCTGTGTTGGTGCTACCGTAGATGTATTGTATGTTGTCAATGGCTGTAAACATGCTGTTTTTTGTCTTGTAGGTGTTGAGCTGGAACTGGACCTCCACACCCGTACTGTAGATTAGAACACCGGCACGCACTGCACCCGAGTCAATATCAGAGTTGGACAGGAGTTGTTTGACGAAGTTGATCTGCTTTCTGAAGTTGTCCTCGCCGACGCTGGTTGACGAATCGACGACGATGACCATGTCGACACGAGCGAGACCACACCCACCTAACGTATTGACAGACATTTAGTCAAGTGTTTAATAATTCTAATATATATATTTCTTCTTTATAAAAGAAATTATCGAAAACCGTAAGAAACCATGCTGCCATGGGAAAGTTGTGTTCATTGAATCTCTGTTTCTTTCAGGGAACTTATGTTACAGGATTATCAATTATCAACATATTACTTATATTTTGATTATTATGGCAAACACATACTGTTTTAATTGTTTAAAGAAAAAGGATTTGAAACAAGTTTGACCTCGAAGTTGTTTAACAAATGCAGTATCCACTCCGAGTTCTTATATTAAATATTCCTCGTGTACGGAGGATATTTATGTTTGAGAACATATTTTTTAGGACATCACAGTTAAACTTACTGGCGGTAGGAGTAGGTGAGGGAACGGGCGGTTCTGGTTCGGTAGAGAAACTTGTTATCATATCAGTTTAATAATATACAAAATATCTGGTATATAAATTTTATCACCTTTTCCTTTATTCTGTTTGTTTCTTTTAACTTAATTGATATAAAATTACGATATTGAATAGAAAACAAATCATAACATTTTGCCAATATTAATGAATTATTGAGACATTTCTGTAAATATTTGCGTAGTCATATTTTATGATAGAAATGATAGAAAAGATCAATTACGCTTGAAATAATAATATTTTTTTTATATACATAATAACGATATATTAATCAATTACATTTGTCAGTTTAATTGGTTAAGTGTTAAATATGTGCAGTTAACTATAGAGCGGATGAGGTTGGTTAAGTACAAGGGGATGATTTGTAACATTAAAACACATAATGTATATCAACATTATTGTAAAGCAAACATTTAACATAAAGACACGAACAAGTGGATGAAATCACGTTGTTGATGGATATTGTCAACACAATGGTGGAAGGGTACAACATTATCAAAATTAGTTAAACGGCACATCGATCTGAATGGCAAACAAGTATGGAAACGTGTGTACACAATATAATTGACAGAAGTTGACAAATACAGAACATTAGCCCCTAGTAAAGCCATCAAATTCTTTTTTTTCCAAATACACATTAAAATAATAGTGATTTCTCTGAAAATGAAAACAGCACAGCTTTCCATGGTTTATGTTCCATGTGTAATTGAATAACTTTCTACTCTGTTTCCAGGCTGTCAAATCAGCTTTATATTTAATTGCCTGGGACAGAGATAGTGAAATGGTTCTTTACACACATAGTTAACCCTGTAAATGACCAGACTCTGAATCTATATATCACGTTGACACGGATTTTAATCGCTTCGTTGAACTTCAAAAGTTTCTTCACTGCAGTAGCAAACTCGGGCGAGAAAGAAAAATCACGAATCCGTTTTTAAAATTACGCGAAAACTTCAACATCAAAGTCGGGAACTACTACAAAACACCGGCAAATAATGTTGGATAACATGAAGAGGAAATATATAATATATCCCTGGTATATAAATGAGTGTATATATAAAATATAAGCGTGTAAACAATACAAATAAATAAATACATTTACATCATTTCCGCGTATTAGGACAATTCATTATGCATTCAGTAGAATATGAGCTAGGGAATGGCAATCACACTCAACACAAAACATTTAAACGTATTTTGTTCTGAAACGGAAAATGTGAACGTGGTATTAATATTTATGTTTCGAGATTTAGTTCATTTCATGTTCTACACTTATGCAAAACATGTAAACGCATTAGTTATATTATTGCATTATCATAGCGGATTTCCTAATGCAATCATGCAGCTGTAAGGAAGACATGGCCGTCTGATTAAAGGTTCACCAGACTATTACGAATACTGCATTAATAAAACATGTAAACAAAACATCTGTAAGCAGTTATTCACCACATTATCACAGGTATACACGACACGTCAATATAAAATAAGTACGGGTAAATTGTGACGTATACACAACACTTGTAATGACGACACACCTATATCATAGACAGTACACATACATTGTGACATATACACAACACTTGTAATCACGACACATCTATATAATAGATAATACACATAAATTGTGACGTATAAACAACACTTGTAACGACAACATAGCAGTAAAAACACACAGTACACATGAAGTTAGACGTGTACACAGTATTTGCATTGCAACGAGAAACATACCATTTCATACAAAAAGTTATTTTGTTGGGAAACGAACAACGTGTATACATAAAAAAAAATCCATTCTAATTACAAATCGACAAGTGGGTAACATATGAACTGAATTAAACATATACAAAGGTAGATTTGCCGTGATAAAAGGATTCCCGTAATTATCAAAACCACATGTAACACCTGTTTACAAAACAACAAACAAGGCTGCAATCCACCTGTTATCAGTCCTGCTGTTCACCACATTACCTGTTACTACCGCTGTAGTGGTGCGGGCGGGTGTGGTCGGACTTGTGGTCGTCGTGGTCGGCTCAGTGGTAGTAGTGGTACGAATACGTGGTGACACTATTAGCACACAGAACATTTCATAAACAAAACAGTATTGAAATCGAACGAACAGATACGAGAATATATAACAGGTAATATACAAAAGTGTGCAGATATAGACAAGTAGGAGACATTAAATATTAATAGTTAAACACTTAACACACATTTCATCGATCAGTGACGTCATATGATACTGTGACGGTATGTTAAACACAAAGGCGTTTATGACACGTAACATATACCGTTTATTCATTCGGGACATTTCGGTGATTAACACCAATATAGCGCTGACACTTGTGTATTAAACATGTATATGAATATGGACCATTCGGGACATTTCAGTAAATCACAAGTAAATAACGCTAATTCTTGTGTATTAAACATGTATATAAATATGGACCATTCGGGACATTTCGGTAAATCACAACTATATAATGGGTATACTTGTTAAACATTCATATGCACATGGACATTTGGGACATTTAGCACGGCCATCCACAGATAAATAAAACGTAGATTAGCGCGCTTACCGACTAGTTAGCATACCACGATTGGTATTATGATAACCATAAGTCGGATAGCTGTGGATTAACGTATAGAAACATCCGCCGTACAGTCTAAACCATATGTGTTATATTCTATTTATCATACACGTGTATTTTATAGACACTCCAGCTGTACAGTTTACACTATACGTGTTATATTCTATAAATGAATTTCAATAGTATTCCTACACTTAACGGTGGAGATCTGGTAAAGTGTCTCAAAGGAATAAATATTGGTATATATGCAAACAGCCGTGTTTGGCTTCACACATACTTGTCACCATGCCAGAAAGGGGAAAAAGTAATACGATATTCTTAATAATGTCATAACAGTTTAATGAAGTTAAAATAATATCTGATAAAATAAATCCAGAGCTGAAAGAGAAAAAAACGTTAACCACGTGGTTATAAATACCTGGGCATATTGAAGAAAATATTTGTTCATCAAGGCCTTCAAGATCTTCAAAACTTTGAACATTAAAAACGTTATCCTCTATTGGGTCTGAAGCCATAGCCTCCAGCTCCCTGGTATCGACCAGGCCAATACCGACGACATAGACACGGACACCCTCTTCCCTGGCTAGGACCGCCTCAGGAATTGTCCTCTGAGAATTGATGTTAGACACGCCATCAGTGATGATGACAACCACATTTTTAACATCTGGTCTGTCTCCGTTTCCATACGTGAACATTTCTGTCCGCATGACTTTGATACCATCTGCCGTGTTTGTGCTTCCATACTGGTATTCGATGTTGTCTATGGCTGCGTTGACGTCAGCTTTAGTCGTGTGGCTATGCAGATGGAATTGTACGTTTACCTCGCTACTGTATAGCAATACGCCCACCCTAACGCTACCGCTGTCTATATCGGCATCTCTCACAAATGATTTTAGGAAGTTGAGAGTTTTGCCAAAGTTTTCCACGCCGACGCTTGTTGACGAGTCAACCACAAATACTAAATCCACATCTGACAGACCGCATGATGTTGGTGCTGGAAACAAAACCGTAGATTCTGTTACTCATACAAACTGGACATAAGGTTCTTACTTACAAATTGTATTATATAGTACAGCTATGATGCAGTGCAAAAATAGTAAACTGATTTCATGTTATGTGTGACATAACACCTTCGAATGCAACATCAGAATCAATAGCTATGACATCATGACGTCACAGCTAATTTATCTTGTCAAATATTTTGGAAGAAAAAGAACATTTAATGTTGCTAGTTATAAGTAGAACTTAAATTCCATTGTTCAGTGCCCCATGCGACTGAAATAGAGTATACATTAACAACATAAAACTGCTATGACGTCATGAGTTCTTAGCTAATGCAAAAATGTTATTTTCATTGAATTTTAAACTGTTACATATAAGTTTAAAATGGAACGCCAGGGTTACTTCAGATTGTACCATATACCATGCGACTGACATTGAGAATTTGTTCATTAAAAGCAATTGTTGAATTCAGATCGAACGCGTCACAATTAGTGTTTGTATAAAAATGAATTCAGATTGTGATGTTTTCTTCGTTCTAGCCTTTTTTGATATGAGTACAGCTGACTCATTTGTCTTCACCATGCTCCCTTACGTTTCTCAGTGACATCCAGTTTTGCTTCTAACTTTTTAAGGATTAACTTGAATATATTTTTATGTTATGGAGATATAACACAAAAAAAAACTGGATTGTACTCTTAATAAACCGCGACAATTTTAAATATTATAAATCCTTTAATCTACTATACACAATCCCTGTGAAAATTCACTTTCATTGATGGACTCTTTACTCTTAGAAATTATTACGCCGTTGTATCAGCCAATCAAAAGCGACGTTACAAACGGCGACGTCATTTTTTTACCTTATTGGCTGATAACATAAATTTTTAAGCCTATGAAAACGCTTGTTACAAGCAAGATTAAATTATACGTACATAACGCGTATTAAATCACAGGCAGATATACATGTAGGTACATCAGCTATATTGTGTCAATACTGAGTAAAGTGTTGTATTTAATATGATTTACATTAAACATAAATCTAACTTTACTATCAACTTTTGTGACAAACATTTCTGCATGTAAGTAGTGGTAAGATAGAAATATCTCTATTATAGCAAATACATCTTCTAGTCACCGTGGTAGTCCCTTTTGTCACGGAATGTGTTTCGGTCATGCTATTCTGAACAATTATTTGAGCTAGGTAAATAGAATTTAGATTACTTTATAGTATTCGAGTTCGTACACCAGATATCAGTCTCCAGTTTCACCCGAGTGTGTGAACATATTTCTTATGTTAGATTAGTCAGTTTTTATCTTACTTCAATATTGTACAAAGGACTCACTCAAGCAACATGTCCGATGAAAGCACTCGAGTAAGGCTTACGCTAAACTATTCAAACAAAACTTTTAAATCAATATAGAATTTTCTTTACAAAATACTGTTATCGATTCTGTAATGTTTCAATAAAAATGTGTTATTTTTCATTTGAAAAAAAAATAGGCTTGGATATTTTACGTGTAAATATTTGAGACGATTGTCAAACAGACATTTGCTATTAACGGTATGGGTTTCCTAATGATGCTATGTGTTTTATGTTCAAGCGTACTGCACTTGTATAGAATTACAAACACCCTTCAATACATTCCCACTCTTGATAGATGTAAAGAAATTCTTAGGTTAATGTATCAATAAAGGATGACCCTAACCCTGACCTTCCTGCCCACACAAAAAGAACATTCCCTGACAATGATACTAAATACGGAAACAACATTTATTTAAATTCCGGACATTTTGTAAGAAATGACAGTGAGAACGTTAGAACGTTAACATATACGTGGATCAAGCGTTTAAGTGTTTACAATTACCCATACTTGGGTAAATTTCACAGTTCCACAAGGGTATTTGTTTAACAGTGATTGATGTAGGTAAATATATCAGAAACAGAGGAGTATACCATTCAATGGGATCAAAGTGATTATATTCAAGTATTGGTAATTACCCATCTCACTATACATTTGTCTATTCTTTTTATCTGATCTGGATCCAAGTCATGACCGTAAATAGGAATAACACCTGGGGCTGAACTTATGAAGTGATGCTATCATATAGGGTATGTATGATAAGCTGCGGGTTACCGAGTGTTAGTGATAGCATCACTTCTCTCCGAATGACAACGCTAACCCAATAACCGCCATCATTATCCTGTTGAATAATACAATAAAGTCGTTATTTTTTTCTTTTATTATGCAAGGACTCCTTACAAACTAACAGTTTATATGAGGCGTCCGTGTAAAGAGGGTTTTCAATCAATTTGGTTAAATTGATAAAACAGTTAAAACCATGTCTATTTAAAGGAAATCACGAATATTATGGAACGCCAACTGAATTTACTATCTCATTGTTATGTTCATTAGTGATATCATGAATGTTGCATTGAGCGTAGCGCATCAATTTTAAATTATGATGAGGTCACAATGAGGTTTAAGTAATATTTTCATAGCATATGTCAAACAATTTTCTGTAAAAAAAGAAATCTTTTATCGGTGCTATATTCTCCTTGTTGGCCCTTGAACAGATACCAAATGGGGAGAACCGTATTATAATATTCACTTATCATTAAATGCATGCACACGCGGTTGAAAATACGACAGGGCAAAAAACTGTTTTAACGATCCAGAGATAATAATACGAATTGTGGTATTTCGGTTATTCACAAGGGAGTGTCTAATCATGTAACTAATTGTCAAACTAAATTAAGACTTTCACTCAAGTGTCTCTTAAGGATCCCCGTACCACTGCCAAAAACTGTAACTATTAAGGATCCCCGTACCACTGCCAAAACTGTAACTATTAAGGATCCCCGTACCACCGCCAAAAACTGTAACTATTAAGGATCCCCGTACCACTGCTAAAACTGTAACTATTAAGGATCCCCGTACCACGGCCAAAACTGTAAATATTAAGGATCCCCGTACCACTGCCAAAAATGTAACTATTAAGGATCCCCGTACCACTGGCAAAACTGGAACTATTAAGGATCCCAGTACCACTGCCAAAACTGAAACTATTAAGGATCCCCTTACCACTGCCAAAACTATAACTATTAAGGATCCCCGTACCACTGTCAAAATTGTAACTATTAAGGATCCCAGTACCACTGCCAAAACTGAAACTATTAAGGATCCCCTTACCACTGCCAAAACTATAACTATTAAGGATCCCCGTACCACTGCCAAAAATGTAACTATTAAGGATCCCCGTACCCCTGCCAAAACTGTAACTATTAAGGATACCCGTACCACTGCCAAAACTGTAACTATCAAGGATCCCCGTACCACCGCCAAAAACTGTAACTATCAAGGATCCCCGTACCACCGCCAAAAACTGTAACTATCAAGGATCCCCGTACCACTGCTAAAACTGAAACTATTAAGGATCCCCTTACCACTGCCAAAACTATAACTATTAAGGATCCCCGTACCACTGTCAAAATTGTAACTATTAAGGATCCCAGTACCACTGCCAAACCTGTAACTATTAAGGATCCCCGTACCACTTCCAACACTGTAACTATTAAGGATCCCCGTAACACTGTCAAAACTGTAACTATTAAGGATCCCCGTCCCACTGCCAAAACTGTAACTATTAAGGACCCCCGTACCACTGCCAAAACTGTAACTATCAAGGATCCCCGTACCACTGCTAAAACTGAAACTATTAAGGATCCCCTTACCACTGCCAAAACTATAACTATTAAGGATCCCCGTACCACTGCTAAAACTGTAACTATTAAGGATCCCCTTACCACTGCCAAAACTATAACTATTAAGGATCCCCGTACCACTGCCAACACTGTAACTATTAAGGATCCCCGTACCACTGCCAAAACTGTAACTATTAAGGATCCCCGTACCACTGCCAAAACTGTAACTATTAAGGATCCCCGTACCACTGCCAAAACTGTAACTATTAAGGATCCCCGTACCACTGCCAAAACTGTAAATATTAAGGATCCCCGTACCACTGCAAAAACTGTAACTATTAAGGATCCCCGTACCACTGCCAAAACTGTAACTATTAAGGATCCCCGTACCACTGCCAAAACTGTAAATATTAAGGATCCCCGTACCACTGCAAAAACTGTAACTATTAAGGATCCCAGTACCACTGCCAAAACTGTAACTATTAAGGATCCCCGTACCACTGCCAAAACTGTAAATATTAAGGATTCCTGTACCACAGCCAAAACTGTAACTACACAATAAAAACGTTTGTCCAGCATGACTATAGCTTTAATAAATCATTTTTTGGAAAGAAAATATTACTTAACAGGACTTTTATGAACAAATAATAAAGATGCAATAAACATAACAGAATCAACAAACGTCTTTTTGAGTGTTAAAAGTCAGCGGTGCTAGACTGGGATTGGAATCCTGGACTTCACATTGTTATATTATCGCTCTTATCAAATGAGTTATCTGGTCCACGGAAGTATTCTGACCGCACTCTGCTGCAAATATTTCCAAAACGGAATTAAGAGAGTCTACTGTATACACGAAAAATCACTGTGCAGCGGGACAGGGATCCTTATTTAAATAATGATCTTTGGATTATAAAGGCGGCAAGACTGATAAACTTCGTACATATTTCTTTCTTACAGACGATTTAAATATTAATACCAGAATATTGCCAAAAGGTGTACCAAAGCTTTCAATGGTAATGGTTTTATATTCTGCCATAGACATTTCATAAATCAGTGAAGTTATAGCGATTTGATAAAACATTCAGTCTGAGAGATTTGATGAATCATTGAGTCTGAGAGATTTGATAAAACATTCAGTCTGAGAGATTTGATGAAACATTAAGTCTGAGAGATTTGATAAATTATTCATTCTGAGAGATTTGATAAAACATTCAGTCTGAGAGATTTGATAAAACATTCAGTCTGAGAGATTTGATAAAACATTCAGTCTGAGAGATTTGATAAAACA